TGGATTCCTCTGAGTCCTGTGTCTGAAGTACACAGTGTCTTCAGAAATAGGACCTACCTTCAGTCTCTGGGAGTCAACCAAGAGCAAGGGCAGTAGCCTCCATTGTTTTCAGGGTCTACTGGACTCCCCTGACTGCCAAACAAGAAAGGGGGCTTCTTATGGCTGGTACTGGGTTTTTGTTTTTATTAGTCTGTGGCTCTTGGGCAAGCATTATCAGCCCGAATGGCATAACTTCATTTAAACTATATATATTATAGATAATATATATATATATATGAATATTATATATACTTATATGTATGATACGCAATTTTAGGTGGATGAAAGGTAATGATTCCTCATGGCTTATTCAAACATCCTGCGGTGATTTGAATGAGAATGACCTCCATAGTCTCATATGTTTGAATACTTGGCCCCCGGTTTGTGGAAATATTTGGGAAGGATTAAGAAGTATGGACTTGGGTAGAGAGGTGGCTCAGTGGTTAAGAGCACTGGCTGCTCTTCCAGAGGATCCAGGTTCAATTCCCAGCACCCACATGGCAGCTCACAACTATCTGTAACTCAAAATCTTCCCACCATCCCCAGTGTTCTCTGTCTCTGTCTGTCTCTGTCTGTCTGTCTGTCTCTCTCTGTTTATGAATCTAGACTTGAGCTCTCAGCTGTTCCTGCCACCATACCTTTGTTCCACCATCATGGACTCTACACTCTGAAGCCATAAGCCTAAACTGAACATTTCTTTTGTGAGTTGCCTTGTCCATGATGTCTTGTCACAGCAATATAAGAGTAACTGATAAATACCCTTCGTGTTATTTCCCTCTTCCCTCCCTCTTCTTATATTGACCTTCCACCCTCCTCCTCAATTAGAGTTCTCACCACCATTTTCTCCTTCACATCACTTGTGTCCTGCTCTTCCCCTCTTCAGCACTTCTGGCTTCCTCCCATGTACCTTTTTACTTTCTTGGTTTCTGCAGCTATTCTAGATTCTATACTCATGCCTGAAGGTTTAGAGCTAGGAATCTCGGATGGGAGACGACACACAACATTTGTCCTTTTGTGTCTGGGTTACCTTACACGAGATAATATTTTCTAGCCCCATCCATTTGCCCAGCTGTGCCCAGGTGTGAGCTGCAGTAGACTGGGCTAGGCAGAGAGGTTGGGTGTCAGAACAGTATTTAAGAAAGGTTTTAAGAGTGTTTCTGAGGACGGTGTGATGCTGGCCATTCCAATGGCTTCAGAAGCTTCTTCCACAGGGAAGTGTAAGGGGAAAGCAAGCACTTGTGTGGCAGGCTTCCTGATGTCCATTCTGATCCATGAGCTTTTGTGGGCTGATATCACGAAGAGAACAGGAGGTCTAGGGAACGGTGGTAGGAGGAACTGAACTGTGTTTGCACCTTCCCAGCCCTGTCCTTTCCACCTGAGGGTGGGCCGAAGACCACTGGAACTCCAACGAGCAGAAGAGAGGAGGAGGAAATGGTGACGATCGGAAAAACACGTAGATTTCCTTCCCCAGTGAAAGCTTACAAGCAGAGAGGGAAGTTGGAATCTGTAGTACCTATCCCTACAGCCCTGTCTGGACTATATAGTCAATGTGATGTTTGTCTCAGAGTAAATGGGCGTGGGTGCCTTAACTGTTCACAGATAGGAAACTGAATCAGCTCTACCCAAAATAGAACTGAATCCCTATTTCCACATGCCAGCTGTGCTGCAGTTGCTGAAAGAACAAGGCAGGAGATGCAGGAAGACTGGGCAGGGCTGCTGCCGTCAACCCTCCTCATGGTATTACAGCAGGCCACATGGCTTATCACTCCAGCCACAGCAGAGGGCCAGGGCCATGAGTCAGGATCTACTTAGTTACCTTCAACAAAACATTGGTTTGCATTTGTATGAACAGAAAAGAAATTCATGTCATACCTCACTGTCTGCAGGCATCTTCTTCCAGGATTCCTGTGGATGCCGGAGGCTGTGGGTGCTCAGAAACAGTGTGGTTTGTTTGTTTGTGTCGAGACAGGGTTTCTCTTGTGTAGCTTTGGCTGTCTTAGACTCGGTTTGTAGACCACGCTGGCCTTGAACTCACAGAGATCTGCCGCCTCTGCCTCCCAGAGTGCTGGCATCACAGGCGTGCAGCCCGGATACTGTGATGTTTTTCACAGGGCCTGCGAGTCCTTCTGCAGGCCTTAGACTCTAGCGTCTCTGGATTACTTATAATACCTAATTTTAAGTAAACAGCTGTTACACCATGCTGTTTTAGGAATAAGGACAAGGAGAATAATCTACATCTTATATACAGATGCTATTTTTTTCTACTGTTTTTGAGTAGAGTTTGGCTCCATCCAAGGATGACAGTACAGTAATTCCCTAGATTCCCATACTTCTGTGGGGCAAGGGTTAAAGAATGCATCTCAGATTGTCTGGGCCAAGGACTGGACGCCAGAGCTGGTCTCAGCTCACCTCTGCCTGTTGCTTCTGGTGCCCAGCCTTGCCCACTGCACACATGAAGTATCTGGCTAGCCTGCTGACCTTCTGCATCTCTTGGAAGACGTAGTCATCTTTTTGCTCATTTCCTATTTGTTGACAGAAGGAAAGGAGAACAACAAAGGAAAACAGAGGTTAGATGCTGGTCTTATGCTGGCCCTGCACAGACAGCTGGACCCTGCAGCTGTGGACTGTCTGGGGATGCTTTCCCAGCGTCTTCTATAGCAGTATGTCCTGGAAGGAGTGCAGCCGTCCAGTGCGGGCTCATTGTCCGAGTCCTGAGACCCAAGCAGTGTTCTCTGATAGTTCCTGCAGAACGCTCCCAATATGCTTGCCACGAGGCACCTGTGGCACTGGAGCCCTTAGAGTGTGGCCGGCTCAAATGGAGATGTTCTCCTAAGCCGGGTTTAAAGAGCTAATACCAAAAATTGCAGGAGAGCTCACTAATAGACAGCCACGAGCCATGAGACGACGCTTCAGCCAATGACGGACGCACATGCAATGGCCACTGTAATGTCAGAGCACAGTGCCTTCCTCATGTGTGTGTGGTAACATGTTTGCGTGCCTGCTTCGCCAGTCACGTGGGGGAACGGCACACCCAGCTGTCTGTTTGGTATGATAAAGTTTCAAACGCTGATAGCCAGCTGTGTTTCTGGTCTCTGTGTGTTTAGTAACTATTCTGGAGCGCACCTGCTTACGGAGAAAGAAGTGTAGGTGCTGTTGACTGCGTCTCCTGAGTATGTCTTTTCTCTTGCACTTGATTTAATCTTGTGTTGTTATTGTGACCCCAGAAAGACTATCTATTTTTACATACACACATATGCATGTTTTCCATATACTCTCCCCATATATACCATAGGGCTTATTGTGTAGTCGTTTGTGGAAGCACATTCTATGCTGTTTACGCCACGACAGAATTACCTAACTATGCATTTCTCAGACTATCCCCTTCATTAAGCATTTTATGTTGATCACGTATTGATAATATTTTGATAGATTCACTTAAAAATAACTTCCTTTTTTATGTGTGTTCATTTGGTTGCGTGTGTGTGTGTGTGTGTGCATGCATGTGTGTAGGGAGGTCAGAGGTCAACATCAGACATCTTATTTGATTACTGTCTGCCTTATAGTTTGAGAAAGTCGTATTAAACCAGGAGCTCACCAGTTGGCCAGGCTGGCTGGCAATGGGCTCCAGACGTCCGTCTACCTGTCTCTGTTCTCCTAGGACTGTTGCTGTGCTTTTCGTGTGGATGCTGGGGCTCTCTTTTTGTTTGTTTGTTTTTTTGAGACAGGATTTCTCTGTGTAGCCCTGGCTCTCCTGAAACTCTCTCTGTAGACCAGGCTTGGCCTTGAATTCAGAGATGAGCCTGCCCCTGCCTCCTGAGTACTGGGATTAGAGGCATCACCGTAGACTCTCTATTTGCTCTAGTTTAACAAGACAAATTTCCAAGCGAGTCCCACTCGATTTCTACAGACAGGCTGCTCTAAACATTACCACAGTCTCTGTAAATGCCAGCCTCAGACCTGGGGATGCGGCAACATGGCAGTTGGTGTAGAGTTCAAGGAAAAAAATGCGGTCAGGTGTGCGCATTTAAATAAATGCTCACCATAATTGATAGTTGCTTGCATTTGAGGGCCACAACGGAGAAAGACTGGTTTTTTTTTTTGCCGCGGCGGTTGGAGCTTTGAGGTTTTCTCTCATCACTCTTAAGTGGAGAGGAATTTCTTAGTCCTCTTAATCTGCGAGGTATTTAAACCTCTTCCTTTGTGAGTTCGGGTGCCCAGCAGCTTAAGTCCCCCTGTGTCCCTAGTGTGAGTACTTAGTACACATATCATAGCAACACCTGAGCTCACCTTCATGGGGATCTTCCTTAGCCAGGAACCTGGCTAGGTGCTGAGCTGCCTCTGGGTACCAGGAAACGAAGCCACAAACGGAGGAAGAACTAAGGCAGTAACCAGATTGGGTGCTTCCTCTACCTACCTATGCCTCCCACACTAGCCATAAAATGAGGAGGCCGGTTGCCCTGTTTCCAAGGGATGGCAGGTTCCTCAGCTGTCCTCATGTCCTACATCTTGGGAAAGCTTCAGTACAAAAAACAAAACAAAACAAAACAAAACAAAAACGTTCTCATCCGGGATTCTTCACTGTAGGCGCAGGGGAAATAAACATTCCCCTTGAAAGCTCTGCGGGCTGGTGAGAAGCAGCTCTGTGCACACTTTACGTGTGTGTGCGTGTCGATGCGTGACTGTGTGTGTGTGAGATGCACGCATGCTTGTGTGACCAGAGCGTGACCTCGAGCATGGCAGAGCACACGCAGCAGGCATGTTTTAATGTCTTTAGCCCATGACTTGCTCGCTGAAGGCGGAGTGTGGTTCCTGTCCGGGATAAGCACGGTTCTTGGCCTCTGTCCGAAGTCAGCTGCTGCGCGCCATGCGGGGAGGAGCCTTTGCCCCTTCACGAGGTCCCTGCTGTTCTGCCTCTGGTGGGATAGACTTCCTCACTGTGTCTTTGTCCGACTTCTCTCTAGCTCAAGAGGGCCAGCAGTGAGGACATGCTCAACAAACCCGGAAGCGCCTCCTCGGGGACGGTGCGCATGAAGAAGACCTCGACGTCGGGGGCCATCTCGGAGCTCACCGAGAGCCGTCTGCGGAGCAACCCAGGTAGGAGGGACCTGGCCGTCCTGTCTGGTGGAAGCACTATGGATCGTGGAAAGGCCCATCTTCCTCGACCGTGATGGGTGGTGATGGGTGCTGCGCTTTCCGATTGCTTCCCACTTCACAAAACAGCACATTCCAAAGACACATTTTAATTTATTCAGCCTCCAGGAAGTTGAATGTGAGGACTGAATGTGATTTTGGTTGTAGAGGGAAAGGCCCCTGTTCCTATATGGTGACTTAGCTGTTCTGAAGACTGAATTCATACTGAGTACAGCAAATGAAAGTAAAGCTTATTTTTGCCAAGCAAGCCTCTCCTACCGATTCCAAAATGAACAGATGCCATTAATTAATTAAAAAAATTAATTCCAGCCTTATTCTCAATATTAATGCCAAAATGAGACGTTAAAACGTTAGCGAATGCTGTCCAAGCAAATGTGCGGGCAGCATAGCCGTGGATTGGTGCCAGCTAAGAAAGCCTAAGGGGCTTAGAAGATGGCTCAGTGCTTAAGCGCTGGCTGCTCTTCCAGAGGACCCAGGCTCAGTTCGCAGCACCCACATGGTGTCGGTGGCTCACAGCTACCTGTAACTTCAGTTCCAAGGGATCCAGTGCTCTCTCCTGACCTCCACAGGGACTGCACACGAGTTGACACATAGACATGCCTGCAGGCAAAACATGCATACACACAAAATAAAACCGAATCTTTTAGAAAATGAGCCAGTGGGTGATTGCTATGGATATATAGCCTGCCAGCAAAGCAGAGGCCAAAGAAAAGCCACGTGGCCGTCTGGAGAGATGTGGGAGATAGTACTGTCAGAATTAGCCACCATTCTGGTTTAGTAACACACCCTTGACTGACTACGGTGGTGGCGACTTCTAGCAGAGAAGTGTGTGTCTGGCTGCATGTGACAACACACGCCTGTGCCCCAGATACTCGGAGACAGGAGTGTGTCCTTAGCCCACAAGTTCAAGGCTACTTAAGCAAGACAGAGACTTCACCTCAGAAAATAAGCAAAAAGCACTCTGAAGGTAGAGGCAGGAGGAGCAGGTGCTCAAGGCCAGCCTGGGCTACATGGTACCTTGACTGAAAGAAAGAAAAGAAGGGTAGTTCTCTGATCAGTGACTGGTTAGAAAATATAATATTGGAAGAAATGATCTATACAAGAAAGGACATGGAAGGTGGAACCCTCAGCAATAAATTGAGTTATGCAAGAGCCTATATATTAAGAGAAATCTTTTTGAAGAATGCATCTATGTCCTTGTGAATAAATGGGAAGGAGATGTGTGGGTTTGGGATAGAAAGATTAAAATATAGTAAAGATTAAATTTAGTAATGTTACATACTAAATGTAATAAGGGTGCCTAAGTATTTCTATCAATTCATTTGCATCCTAATTAACATATCAACATGGAAGGAAGCGGACAGGCAGCCGCCAACCGGCGCTAGGTATTTTGGATGTCCTGACTGGGAGGTTGGTTATATTTCCACCTAGTGGATAGAGAGGACAGCCGGAGGGTCCTGCCTGACTCAGTAGGCCTGCTGGTGGGAAGGCCTGATCAAGTGACATCCCAGGGACATTCTGATGAAGAGCAGTCAAAGGGATAAAGGCAGCAAGCAGCGGCAGCTCGGGGGAAGGCAAGTCCACAAGCACGTCAGGTATAGGGTAAAGGAGGTTTATGTCAAGTTGGGACCTGTTTGTGTGTGGCTCAGGATCAGGCTCTAGTTCAGCAGGTAAGAGGCCCTGAGCTCAATCTCCAGCACTGGAAAAAAAAGAAGCTAAAGAAAGTAAGTTAAGTTAAAACTGGCTAACTCTGAAAAGTAAAATTGGATCTCATCTCGTTCTCCTCACGAAAATAAGTCACAGGGAGGTGGGTGATGGTGGAGCGGGTAAGATGCTTGTTGCGCAAACATGGAGAAGGCCCGAGGTCCATCCCCAGGGCCCATGTGCAAAGCCTCTCACCTCAGCGCCGAGAGGTGGTGAGGCCTCGGTTCAATGAGAGGCCCTGTCTCAGAACACAGGGTGGAGGGCGGTATCAGAAGACACTCAGTGTTGACCTGCAACCTCCGTGTCAACAATTCTCATCTGTACACACATCTGCCCACATGCGTGCGCGCGCGCGCATGCGCGCGCACACACACACACACAAATACCACAAACATGTACCTGCTGTGCTTACATAGACACAATAAAAATTCTAAAAATAAAAATTAGCCGGAGGGTTAAGCCAAAGTAGGAACAAAGAGATTAAGAGTGGCGGTCCCTCATCATAAAGCTGGGCACTAGAGAGGTGGCTCAGCAGTTAAGAGCGCTTGCTCTTTCGGAGGACTTGGGCTCAGTCCTCAGCACCCACAGGGCAGCTCTCGGTCTTGACAAGTTCTTCTGTCCTCCACAGGCACCAGGCACTCGTATCTATAAAGGCAAGCACTCACACACGTAAAATAAAAACAAATACTTTCTGAAGGTGCCAAAGGGTTTATTTACAACATATGCAAATTTACAAAGACTTATTCCAACCCATTAGGGAAGCTGTAGGACGCTGCGCAGCTCATGTAAGAAGAAATCGATATCCCAGAGGAAAATAGTAAGCTCCACTGGGCGTTGAGGGGCTGCTAATCAGAACAGTGATCCCATATACGGCACACTGCAGTCGGGAAAGAAATCAAAATGGGTGGTCGTGGCTGTTGTTACCTGGATGGAAGGGATAGGTACACTGCTTATGAGCAGTTGGACAACTTGGCGAACTTGAAGCTTGTTGGCTTAGCTGGCCAGCGGGCCAGCTTGGCGTTGTGACTCTACAGACTCTGCAACCCCAGCGTGACACTGTTCACGTTAACCACAGGCACGCACTACCACACCTGGCTTTCTTACCTTGGGCTCCGAGGACGGAAACTGGCCCTCAGGTTTGTGTGGCCAGCACTTTACCGATCTAGCCATCTCTTTATCCTCCTAAAATTTAATGTGTTGAGTTTGTATTGGTATGTGATGGGCTCAGCGCATTATTATCGTCGGTTCTGGGGCTAGATCTCAGGGCTTTTCAGGTGCTCTGTTTGCTCTGGCACTGACCTACACCCCAACCCATGTACTGTTTATGGTGTGTGTGTGTGTGTGTGTGTGTGTGTGTGAAGGGTGTCACCTTACATGTTGGCAAGACTTATTGCAATTCTCTGAAAATTCATCTGTGAAGGAAAGCATTGAATTCTAGGAAGTCAGAGACTCCTGGTTAATTTTTTAAAAACTGTCATATACGTGTGTGTATGTACATGTGCAAATATATACATGGGATCCCACATATATGGGATACTGTAATGGTTAGTGTTCATGGTCAGACATGACTGGATTGAAATAACCTGGGGTCTTGAGCTGACTAAAAGGGGGACAAGGAGAAAGTGAACTCAACTCCAACATCCTTCCCTCTGCTTCCCTCTGCTTGTGCCGCTCAAGTCAACTGGACGCAGGGACGATCCTGCTGTGGCAGAATATAGCCACCAGGTGGCAGCCTTGTCCAAAATACTGATATGCTGGAGTCTTGGTTCTGTGAGGGGCTCTTGACTTCAGAAATAATGATTCTTTAATAGAACAATCTTTGAACTCTTACTCCATGTTCAGCACTGTTCTGGGAAAAAGATTCCAGGACAGAGACTTCATTGAGTCACCTGAGCAGGACACGACCAAGGGAGAAAGATGGTGACTGGGTGGGACCACTGTGGCAGGATTGACAGCTGGAGCGACGGCCGGTGCCCACCAGTGTCCAGTATGGTGTGAGAGCAGAGGAGGGGGCTGCAGAAGAGCCAGCAGCAGGGCAGGCAGGCAGGGGCGATGTGCTGGGATACGGACAGTCGCTAAGGTCTTTTCCTGAGGAAAGACAGGTGGGATGGGGAGGCCAGATGGTTCACTGCTGTCATAAATGAGGAAGCTCTGGGGCTAGGCTGGGAGCTGGGAGCAGCAGGGGGGTCTGGATAGATTTTGAAGGGTAAAGCCAACCAGCATATACTGCCCTGGTTTGTTGTTTATTTGTTTGTTTCATTTCTTTTCGTTTGCTTGCTTTTCCTTTTTTGAGACAGGTTTTCTTTGTGTATTTCTCTGGCTGCCCTTGAACTAGCTCTGTAGACCAGGCTGGCCTTCAACTCACAGAGACTCACCTGCCTCTGCCTCCCAAGTGTTGGGATTAAAGGCGTGTGCTACCACTGCTTGACTGTGTGTGTGTGTGTGTGTGTGTGTTTTATTAGCTTAACACATACACACACACATGATCTCACTATGTAGCTCATAGCTCAAGTTGGTCTGAAACTCGGTATGTAACCCCAGGCTTGCCTTGACTTTGAAATCCTCCTGTCTCAGCATTTCAAGGTCCAGGATTACAAGCATGCTCTACCACCCTTTAATTACATAAATTTCATCTTAAACTCCTTACCCGGTGTAATGTTGGAGACCTTATCCCACTTCTTCTGGCCTTGTCCACCGTGTCTGCTGTCACTGCACACCCTCCCTTGTGCTTTGGGGTGGCCTGGTCTCTGGACCCACCACTCTTTGCCTTGGAGTTCCCCTGTGGGCGGAGACTCATTGATTCCCACTCCCAGGTACGGCAAAGGATGCTGAGCGAAACTCAGAGCAGCCTCCCCAGCGCTGGGATTAAAGGCGTGTGCCACCACTGCCCGGCTCTGATCCTTTTTTTTTTTTTTCAAAAAATTTTTTTTAATTTTATTTTTCTTATTAGTTACATTTTGTTAACTCTGTGTCCCAGCTGTATCCCACTCCCTCATTCCCTCCCCAACCCCATACTCCCTCCCTGGTCTCTTCCCTGCCCCTTTCCAAGTACACTGATTAGGGGAGGACCTCCTCCTCCTTCATTTGACCCTGTTTTATCAGGTATCTTCAGGGCTGGCTGCACTAAAACACACATAAAATTATCTCTGTTATACATTCTTTTTAAAACCTCACCTCGTATTCATTTATTTTGTGAGCGCGTGCACGCATTTCTCATAGCATATGTGCGGAGGTGGAGG